CCCTGTTCATAAGTCCCCCTTTCTCACTCCCCTTCTCTCCTAGTCTAAATGTGACCTCTAGTTTTCATGTTGTCTATTTCAAAAGCTTCCTTTCTCTCCAGATCATGTTGTTTCTAGTCTTCAGTCCTCAGCACCTGTTCTCCAAATCTGCATTTGTTATTCTAGGCCAGCCAGGTACCTGATAGATACTTGAATCTGCTTTCCCAGTTAAACCTCAGAACACCCCCATGTATTGGGTCATTGTCTTCCATTTTCTTGAAAAATAGACAAAAATAGATAATAAGAAGCTAATTTCCCACCTACGTTTCTCCCCTCCTCCCCCCAACTCCTCTACATGCTTGAAAACCAGGCTCCAGTGACATCACTCTAATGGCCACACCTGCTGCCAGGCTGTCCTTGACATAGGCGACACCCTCTGTTAGCAACCCTCACACTGCCCTGTAGTCTTTCCCTAGGTGCCCTCCAGACAGACAGGAGGCCTGTCTGCCCTCCAGACCATGAGCTCAGTAACCACAGGGACTATCATCTTATTCTTTGCTGTGCCCAGTCCCTGGCACAGTACTTGGCACATTGTAGGGGTTCCAGAAACATCATTCAAGCAGTAAACATTTACTGGACTATACTTGCAGCTCTGTCCCTCCTCGGAGTTCCAGCCATAGGTTTCTGATTCTGATTCCTCTTGACTGAAGCAGCATCAAAAATATTCAGCAGTTCAAGCTTCATGGGATCCAATTGAGCAGGGAGGCCCCCAGGGTGGACATCCACTCCTGAACATGGGAAGGGAAAGCATCCAGAGTAGGCCCCATTGAAGCAGCTTCCGGCTGTTCCAGGCACATCTTGGAAGGACCACAGAGAAGTGTGGAGTAGCAGACGGGGTTTGCCAAAGAAAGAGTCTCCTAACTGGTTTCCCTCCATCAGCACTGTCTTCCAGACCACAGCCAGAGATAGCCATACAAAGGCAGAGCTGACCGTGTGCCTGTGATGACGGCAGGCTGCTGTCAGGGTGGGATAATGAACTCCACTACGAGTGAACAGTGCCATTACTCACCAGTCCCCCTCGCCCTTCACATTCTGCTGTGATCAAGTTGCTTATACCATCCCTAAAAAATGCTTGCTTATGTTACACTTTTAGGCTTTTGCTTTTGCCATTTCCTTAACTTAGTGTGCTCACTTAGCAGCCCCCTTTCGTCTAACTCCATCTTACTTATCCTTTAGATGAAGCTCCAATATCAGCACCAAAAGCCGGGTACAACGCCCCTCCCTCTGGGGCAGAAGCTGTCTGTGACCAAGTCACATGTTGCATTGAAATCATCCTTGTTCCGCTGACTCTGAACTCCAGGGGGTGGGATGGGGGTGGGAGACAGACTCTCATACATCTGGGTGGTCCCAGAGCCTTGCATGAACTGAAATGGGATCCATCAGGGAAGCGCTTGAGCTATCTTTAAATGATGTAAAGGTCTGTGCATAGTAAAGGCCAAGTCCAGGTTGTACAGGGGACAGATTAGAGCCAACAAGAAGGAAGAGGAAGTTTGAAAAAATACCAGAGTGAGCTCCTTGGGTCAGGAAATAGGTTAAATGTGATCCTTATATTTCTCCCCCTCAGGTTATTTGATGAGTAGCTTAGCAGCTGAAGTAAAGATGATGGATTAGGGGTAGGGACAGGTACAGAAAAGAGGCATGACAATTTTGTTGGCTCACCAGGACATCTGCTTAGGATTGCGGCAGTTGGATGAAATTTAATGAGTACTAAGCATTTCATTTATTTTATGATTAAATATTCCTGGGTACCCACTGTCTGCCAAGCCGAAGGATATCATAGCTAACTCTCACCAAGTATTCTCTTTGTGCCAGACTTGAATAGTCCCCATCACCCACGAGGGAAGAGAGGTGGCAAGAAGGGAATGACTTGCTGCAGGTGGTGTAGCCGCGTGTGGCAGAGCCAGGCTTCATCCCAAGGAGCCCAACCCAGAGCCTGGACTCTTAACTGCTCTGCTGCAGTCCTGGCTCTGCGGAAGACTGAACTCCACCCTGTCCTCCTGAGGCTGGTGGAACTTAATAGGCTACCATGATATTCTAGCGAATTCTTGTTATAGAAGGCAGCTGATTATGTTCATCTTTGTTTTTTTAAAAAAGTTAAATTCTGGAAGGTTAGTCTAGCAAAAGGCAAAGGAAAAAGCCCACATCTGCCCTGAACTGAACACCCACAAATGATATACAGAACGTATTCAGATATTTCCAGATTTTTCTTTCTTTCTGATATTTAATTTTTTTTAAAAATTCTTTAATTCGATGAACATGAGATTTGGCACATAGAAACGGGATTGAGTGGGTTGCGGATGAATCTATATGTGGGAAGAGATAGAACATTGAGGAAAAATAATTAATAGTTGGGACATGTTCAAGTTCACGTTATGTAAGAGGGTCCTATTTTAGTTGGGTGAATCATCTTTTTTTTAAGAAAGACATTGAAACACTTCGTTATCCTAATGCTGAATTGGGGAAAGCAGCAATAATATTGATGTGAAGTTTCAAAGTAATTATTAAATAGAATATATTCCAACTCTGAGCTGATACAGGCTTGTACAAAGTGCCTATAAGAATTCATAAAATTCAGACTGCTTTTAAATTCCATTCAGTGTGGTTTTGTAAGGAATGTACCTGCAAGAGACTAATGTGCTATTTGTGGCGACTATTAATGTGGTGTTGTAGGAGAAGCAGTGGCATAATAATTGCACATTCACGTAGGACTTTATAGTTTCGCAAGTCTGTATTTTTGCAGTTTGGGTCTTCATGAAGATTTTTAGCTCATGCACACCTGTGTTCTTTCATCACAAGAAATGGGCCAACTAAAAGGAACCCAGACTTCTTGGAGAAGTGGCTGATTCCAGGGTAAGGGCAGGGAAAGCACAGGAGAGGCCTAGAAAGAGCAGTGCTCTGCTCAAAGTGTGATGGAGCATGCCACAGGGTCACGCCCAGGAGCCTGCTTGGTGGGGCTCCCGCTGGGACCTGGGGTGCTCTGAGGATCAAAGGAAAGGATAACTGTAATGGATTATAGCCTGTGGAGTAAAATAGGGTTCCATGAGTCCACACTGCTATCCATAAATGAATAAATAAATAACTGAGAGAGGAAGAAATGCTCTTCCTTAGGAAACCAGCTAATAAGTACAGAAAGAATGGTGGATTGAGAAAAGTCACCACGGGTCAACCATCATCACAATAAGTGGGTCAGACCAGAGTCATTAAAGGATTTTACAATAAGATATTAAATTTGAGGAGTGATGGTATATATATAGTCTCAGGTTACATTCCCAACAAAGTACTTTTTCATTACAAAAGGTAAAGTAGTGATTCTCCAGGGTGAAATGTGGCAGGTGCCACCTTGGGACTAAGGGACCCCATATGCCCCAGCCAGAACATGTGGCCAAGAGCTCAGCATCTGTCTCTGGAGTTCCTGACAAACATACCTTCCCCAAACCTAGTCTTTAGGAAGCATCAGACCAAACCAAGTCAGGTAACAAAATAACTAAGCACTGAAAACATGACATCTCAATGCCCCACATGATCTTGGATTTTCTTTTGCTGTGAAAGAATGGGTGTGTCGATGAGACAGTCGTGTTGTTTTAGCATTAATTTCCTGTCATTTTTTAAAACACCAACAAAGCAAAGACAAATCAACATTAATTTTCTGATTTTGATCATTACACTGTGGTTAGTAAGAGTCTTTGTTTTAAGGAAATGTACACTGATGTATTTAAGGGGCTGGGAAGGCAGGAGGGGAAGGAGGATTTCCTTAGAAGGGGAGCCATTGTCAGGCTCTCAGACCACACAATTGGACCCCCTTGGCCCAGGCTTCCAGGTGAAAGGAGGTGACCACTGCCCGGTCAAGCTGCAGCAGCTCCCTGGGAAGGAATGCATCTCTTCATCCTATTTCTCTGTGTTCAGACACCAGCTTGGCTCAGGCTGTTCTCCTCACCTAGAATGCCCTCTCCCTCCTCCCCTGCCTGGAGAAAGGCTGCTGTGAGGTTTAGAGGAAGGAGAAGTTAGGAGCCCCGGTCACACCCCAGCCACTAACTACAGGGAGAGGCCACGGGAGCTGCAGACCTCAGCTTCCTCAGCTGCATGGTAGGGCCTGGGCTAGCTGGTATCTGCGGTCCTCCAGCCACTTCCTATGAACTTGTCCCAGAAAGGCCTTCCTGGGCCTCAAAAAGGAACTGCTGTTGCAGTCCCTGTGAGGTTGATTTTCAGAGATCCTTCCTGTGAAAAGTGGTACCTGGAAAGATCATGTGTACAGATTTTTAGGACATTGCATGGATGTCTGTGGACAGAGTTTTCCGGCATGTTTTCGGGTATACAGCTTGCTGACAGCTTACTTGGCAGTTCACCCCTTCATTTGTTCCTGCAGCATGTATGTGAAGCACCTGCTGTGTCTCAGGCCTGTGCAGGGGACAGTTAGACAGAGACTGCTGGCAAGCAGCAGGGTGCAGCGTCTGGCCCTGACAGGAATGTTTTCTTAAAGTAACTAGAAAGCAGTAGTAAAAGACCAGAAGCCCCAGCCTGGCTCCCAGTTAGTCGCATTAACTTGTGTTAGCCAGATAACCTCTGTGAGCCTCAGTCTTCTCACCTATTAAATGGGGACAGCAGTCTCACTCTGTCAGCCTCCTTGCCTGCCTCTCAGCCCTGTGGCCTTGAGTGGGATGAGTCTGTGAGCTGCTTTATGAATGGGAGGTGGGCTTGTTAATTCTTCAATACGTATGTATGAAGTGCTTTGAAAAACATAGGGTCTTAAACACAAGAGGAGAAAGACAGTATCTTCCCTCTACCCTCCCTGATTGCACACCAACGGGTGTTGCTGGGATGTGATAATAAAGAATCAGAGAACCCAGCTGTGGCACAGAGGAGGCCTGGGGCTGCCTCTCTCCAGGGACGGGGCCTGCTGTGCCAGCACATGGCTCAGAACTGGGTCCTTAGTGATGGACTTGACTGTGGCATTGTCCTTCCAGTGCACCAGGTGGCAGAGCGGGTAGAGGCCCTGGGGCAGTTTGTCATGAAGACCAGAAGGACCCTCAAAGGCCACGGGAACAAAGTCCTGTGCATGGACTGGTGCAAAGACAAGAGGAGGATCGTGAGCTCATCCCAGGTACGTAGCACCTGCTGTGTGTTGGGTGAGCAGGTTCTCAGTATTCCGGCTCAGGGGGAAGGAGACCTGTTTCTTTCAGAAAGCCCTTTCCTGATCTTTATAACTTGGCTTATTCTCCAGAGGACAACTATTTCATGTAAAGATTCTCTCGCACACTATAGAACTCATTAATTTGGGTAGACTTGAAGTTGGTAATAGTTAAAATGTTGTAGGCTATGCTGGACTTAGTTGATGAACCACTCAAATTAATTTCTTCACGAACACATTTCAAGGTGTTATTTGTGATTAAAACCATTTTTTTTTTTTGAGACGGAGCCTCAAGCTATCCCCCTGGGTAGAGTGCCATGGCATCACGCTCACAGCAACCTCCAACTCCTGGGCTCAAGCGAGTCT